TTTAATTCGTAGAGCCTTTCAAAAATGCAAGAAAATGGTTTAAATAGAACAGACAACTTTAGGTCCAACTGCAGTCAGAACCTTAGAAACTTGTGGAACTCAGGACTTTGAAAATTAGGATAGGTATTTAGGTAGCAAGGGCTATTTTGAGATATGACATTTAGCTCATGTAAGTCAGATTTTTGTTTAACAGAGACCTTTGAAATTACTTCTGGCCTTTGAGAGTTCTGACATACTGTCTTTGTCACCTTCTTCATCCTCTCCTACTTCCTCACCAAAAAAAAAGATGAGATTTCCATATGGTCAGTTTTTAATAACTGGGTTAAGTGTGGAGGAATTAAGTAGGGGAGGTCACTCCCAAATTACTCCCAAATTACTGATTTAGACAAAACTGTGGTCAAATTTTTGAGAGAAACAGTAACCAGACTGGAGAACATGGTTAGGCTCCAGCTGGAACCTGAGATGGGTCCACGTTCATACAAACACATAAACATATATTTGCTTGTTAAAAGTAATATTTTTTAACCCCTTCCACAGACCCTGAGATAGTCACACACATGGAATTGCATGTCACTTCCAGCAGGATGCTGGTTACGTTAGCTTAAAGCCCAGGTCCCTATATCTAGTCCTGTACCACAGATCAACTTGAATTATCAGTTGTAGGTCTCATTTCTCACCTGAGCACCTTGTAAATTTTAGATGAGAAATTTACTCTTAAAAACATAGTATTGCTTCTTTGATCAGAAGGCCCTTGCCAAGACTCTATAATAGAGACTGAAATACTTTATTCTTTATTGAATCTCCACTTTTTATAAATGGCTTTAAAAACATGGTTGGGCTCCCTGCTGTTTTTTTCAGTTGTCACTCTCTGCCTACACCCCTGTCTTTAAACTTAGCATAAAATCCGTGTTTCCTTCTGCATGGACTGGCTGCAGCCTTCTTCCCTGGCTTCATTTCCTGTTTTTCTTCCTTCACTGCTGCCACCTCTGCCACTCTTGCCTCCTGTTCATTAGCTTTCTGGCTTGCTCTGGCCTTGCGGCCTTTTGCTTGCTAATCCTTGGGCCTGCAGCACTGTCCGTACAAATCTTCACATGGCCAGCACCTTCACTTCGTTAAGCTCTCAGTTTGTGTGTCCCCTCCTCAGATGCTTCCTCCACGACCACACTGACTGTTGCCAGCCCCTTCCCCATCATTATCACATTTCTGTTTTCTTCAGGGACCTTCAGGCTATGTGAAATGCTCTTATTTGTTTACATTCTTCCCCCCTCCTTCTCATACATGGAGACATGCAGAGAGAGGATCTGTTCATGGCTGTTTTCCTCACACCTGGCACAGTGCTGCCTGGCACTGAGTGGCATCTGGTAAATCATCGCTGGGGAATGGAGGACTTACAGAACCTGGAGTTTCCAGTAGGAGGTAACCTGTATTCCTTTTGCAGTGCTGATGGGAACCATTTTCTGCATCCTGCTGGTAACCATGATCCTTATGGCATTTTGTGTCTACAAGCCCATTCAGCGCCGATGACAGCCGAGCAAGCAAGTTCTCTCCTACGAGTATTTGGGAACAGAATAAGTTACGCTGCACACGTGTCAGTGGAGAAGTTGGAATCAGAACTTTGCTGCTTAAGCATGCTCTTTGGTTTGGACAGTTGGTAAATGCTAAATTATTTAGAAAAAAACATCTAGCAGTTATTTTTTTCCTAACACTGTAATGCAAAAATTGGCCACTGAATTGGCTTCTCAGTGTTTCTTTTTTCTATCTGGCTGTACTTTTTAAAAATAAGACCTGAAGCTCCAAGTTTCAGATCAGAGATGGAGTACTCGTGAGAAAGAAAACTCAGTAACTTTGTGAGTTACGTAAAAACTTCTTTGGAAAAGACTAATCATTGATGTTTGAAAATATTAAGATAAGAAAGACTTAACATGTAGATATTCCCTACTGAAGAATCATTTGGTAACAATGGGTTAAGAATCACAGATGTTTTAAATTATACAGAGTTGGCCTAGAGTGCTCTGGCTGCAAAGCAGTGTCAGCTGCAGGGAACTTATGCCATCAGTCTTCATGCAGCATCGAGCTCTGCACTCAGATGCCCGCATTGAAATCAGGGTCACATCAGTCAGGCTTATGATTGCGTGCACCCTTGGGCTAGAAGGCTGGGGTTGGACAGGAAATGTTATTAATTGGCCTGAGAAGGAACTCATTCTACTCAAACATATTGATCTTTCTTGTACTGCACTTAAGTCTTCCCAGCTCTTGGCCTAACACTTGGTGGCAGCTTTTCAGATTTGGAATCTAGAATACTCAACAGGAATTCTTTCTTTTCAGCTCTGCATGGGGAGGGCTCAGTCAATAGAAGAGCCTGTTTATTTTGCCAGGCAGAATGGCAGGTGGGCATGTGTTTACACAAATTTAATTTCGACTTTGAAAATGCTGCTATTTGTTTGCACTGTTGGTGAACTGGATTTTTCCCACTATTGAAACGATACTTTCATACTTAGAAAGTGATTATCAGTATTTATTTTAAAGGTGCTAGCTTTAATTTTGTTATTAAATTGAAATGCTTAAATCTTATGCTCCAAGCACAGCACTGATTTTTTTTTTTAACTACCCATACTTAATGTGAAATAACAAAGTTGAGATCCTGTAACTCTTTGACTTAAGGATTTTGTTTGTAACCCATCATTGAGCCATTAGAATGTTAACTATTCTGTGCTTATCAGCAAAATATCAATTAAAATTAAAGTAAAATCTTACATGCTGTTTTACTCCTAATTATTTTCCAAGCATTTAAAATGTAGGTGTGTGTTTGAATCTGATTTAATCTTTTAAGGAAGCACTGTGACATGAAATTTTAAATTCATGTGTGAAATAACACTATTGCCCCAAGGCAAAGCATTATTCAAGAAAACTGAGCCATAATCTCTCAGGCTGGGCCAGGGGTCAGAAGACCTAGATTCTTATCCCAGCTCCAATTATAAATAGGCTTAACTTCTCTAGAGTCATTTCTTATCTGTAAAATGGTGACACACAAACTTTCTTTTACAATTATAGTAAAGATGAAATGATTGGGAAACTAATACAAATGAAGGTAGGATTACTAGTTGGCCTGTCCCCTAGAAATCTGTGGTTACTGACTGGAGGGAGGAGTGAGAAGGGTTCTGAGAAGGACTCGAATTGACAAAGTCCCACCTCATCTGTAATGCCATATTTTGATATATCGTTTTTAGGACTTTCAAAGGAAACAGTGAAAACTTGCCAGGCCCATAAACCTTGCGACCTGTTTGTTCAGTAATCACCAGCCAGGTACTGGGATCACGTTCATTTTATGAAAAAAACCTTGCAATAGTTATTCCACATACAAATGCAAAACCCAGCCTACATCTTCATTCCAATATACCATCTGTTCAGTATGAGATTTCAAGCTAAAGAAAAAGAATCCATAGAGGCTTATTACAGAGATGAGTAAAGACAAAAACATCAGTTCTGGGAGAGAGAATCAATTATACTAAAAACTTTTATGCACCAGAAGCTGACCAACTAGTACCTTCAAGTGGAATTATTTTCCTGACCATCTACGGGGGAGGCAGGAGCCAAACCCTAGACCTCATACACTGAACTTATACTCAGAAGACCAACTGAGTATCCAAATGAACATATGATTTGCACCAATCATAAAAATGAGCTATTTTAACTTTCTTTAAAGTTGAGATTAAGAAGTCTGCAAGTGCTGCTTGAGATTTAGGGGCTCTGGAGTCTTACAACTATATTACATTTTTTTCCAGCTGGACCTCAATCTTAAATCTACACATATTTCTAGACATGGGCCTAGTATGGACTTTGAACTCCATCACTTACTGCACTGCAAATCATTTGAAGTTGCCATAACCCAACTTGTCGTCTTTGATGTCATCTAAGTTCAGCA